GGGTTTTTTTTTTTTAATGTTCCCCCCCCCCCCCGTTTGTTTGTTTTTTGGTCAGGGTGAGGTGGTAACACGACACCCTCCCTTACTCCTTTCTTCCCTCCCTCGCTCCTATAGGCCAGCCCAGGCTCAGTCAGCCTGCGCTGGGCCCCTGTGATGCTGTGCAGTGGGATGCTCCATTGCAGTTGCATGGCCGCCCACATTAGCATGCCTGTCAAGGTCAAATGGGATTCCCTCTCTCCTCTTTCTCTTTCCTTCACGCACGAGGCAGGTGCATTGTGGGATACTGTTGGAGAGGGATGAGAGAGGGGGGCTGTGCAGCAGGAAGAAGGGGGTCCATCCCTCCTCTTCTTCTTTTTTTTTTTTTTTTTTGGTCTGTCAACTTAGATGGCGTCCATGCTGTGGTGAACCATTTTGACTCTGATGTTTCCTCAGCTGTTGTCCACCTGTCATGGACAGACAGGGGACACGGCTGTCTTTATCGGCATTCCCAGTGTCCACTAGCAGGGGGGTCTGTGTTTCCCTCGTGATTCAAAATGGTTTCTCCTCAAACGGATCGTGACGACTGTTCTACCCCGGCACTTGGCGATGTGCAGGAATTCTCCTTCCTCATTGGACTCTTCGTCTCTTCTCTGTCTCTGCAGCCCTCATCCTGTTGTTCTACCTGGTGTTCTACTGTTTCCTGGCCGGGATGTTCGCCCTGACCATGTGGGTGATGCTGCTCACTCTGGACGACAACGTGCCGAGGTACAGGGACCGTGTTCCTCATCCAGGTTAGTGTCTTCCCAATTCAAAACCGAGGGGCGGGGGTGGATCTGGGGTCTTCCAGGTACCGTAGTTGACATTATTTTCGTCGCGAGAGCATTCATTATTCATCATCTGCAGCACAGAGACAGCGTCGTGATATAACGCTCTACATTCCAGCTGCTTTTTGTATCGACCTGTTTTGGAGTCTCTTCCTGTGAGGCGGGAGTGAAAGTGCGGCGGCGAGGACAGGGTTTCCTGCATCGTGTTTCTCATGTTGACATCGTTTACCACCAGACTGTTTACTTTTTCTCCCGTCTCCGATGCAGGCCTGGTGATTCGTCCCAGTCCGTTGGATATTAAAGTGAACAAATCCGATCCTCAGAGTAACGCCGTGTACATCAAGCAACTGGAGTCGTTCCTGCAGAGTAAGAGCTCGCCTCAGGAGTTCAAATTCATCCAGTTTTATTCCCCCGATATTTGACTAACCCTCTGTGTCCATCTGTCTGCCTCAGGGTACAACGACACGGAGCAAGAGAGGAACGAGGAGTGCAATCCAGGGGAGTACTTCCTGCAGGACGATACCGAGGAGAACACGAAAAAAGTTTGCCGCTTCAAGAGAGGCTCCCTGAGGTCCTGCTCCGGCCTGTCTGACACCAGTTTCGGATATTCCGACGGGAAACCCTGCATCCTGCTGAAAATGAACAGGGTAAGGCACTGAAACGTCTCCAGATTAGCCAGCGCTAAATGCTATCTTCTCATCCGTTGGTTTAGTTCCCCTGAATAATTTATTCTCAAAGCGTCCAGGAAATGGCGTCTCCATAAAAGGCTAAACTTTCCTTCTCTTTGTAGATCATTGGCCTGAAGCCCCGTGGGGATCCGTACATCAACTGCACAGTAAAAGTAAACATCTTTTGTTTCCACTCGTCTATTTTTGTACGATCTACTTTCCTGTATGTGTAGATTCTTCTTCTTCTTCTTTTATTTTACTCGTAAAAAACCATAACAGTCTTTTATATTTTCTTTCTGTTGCTGTCATTTTTCCCTCCTTTTTTTCCGTTTTGTGTCTGATTCCTTTCTGCATGCCGTCTTTGACGACTTTTGGGTAAGAGACTGTGGGAATTGTCAGAGTAAAGCCTGTCTATATTCATGTTATAATTTTGTTTTTAGAGATTATGTTGTTTGTGTTTTACATTGTAAATCGCTTTTAAATGAAAGAATATTTGCAACACATTGGGATGTGTTATCTCAAAAGAGTTATTAGGCTATGATAAAATAAAGTCAGAATTTTGAGATTATTTGTTATGTTTTTAATACTTTATTCAATTAGTAGTAATTTTGAAATTACTTCAAAATTTTAGTAAGTAAAAAAATAGTAAATATTCAATATATACTAATATATTAAATATTTACAGATTTGTTTTTACTTAACATTTTTAAAATTAAAAAAAAAATTTTATGTAAAACTTTGACGTAATCTCAAAGTTAGGACTTTTCTTATTTTCAAAATCCTACGATACAAGTAGAATCTGCTGAGATTCCTGAGAATGAATTCTGTCTACTGTTATTGAGACTTCCTTATCTCAAATTGTGATAACATCACACTGTTTTTCCTAAACAAAAAGAAAAATCCTATTCTAATTGGATTCATTTTAATTTTTTTATCCAATTTAAAAGTCCTATATTTAAATTAAATGTCAGGATCTTATTGAATTCTATGGAAAAGTAAGTATTTATGGAGAACTTTCTACATAAAACTCGGATTTAAGAGAAAATGTAATCTTAGATTTTGAAGTCATACCAGTTAAATCTCTGACTCTGACCTTTGATCTGTCACATTAACCCTCGTTCCTCTCCACAGAGAGACAGCCAAATTGAAATTCAGTACTTCCCCAGTAAGGGACGCATTGACAAGATGTACTTCCCCTACTACGGCAAAAAGGCCCATGTAAGTATTCACTTCCTGTCAGATCATGCCCACGCACGTCTCCACGCTACTGTGTTATTGACGGACAGCTGTCTCTGATCCGACGTAGGAGAACTACGTGCAGCCCCTGGTGGCCGTGAAGCTGCTGCTCAACAAGGAGGACTACAACAACGAGCTGGCCGTGGAGTGCAGGGTCGAGGGCTGCGACATTCGCAACAACGACGAGAGGGACAAGTTCCTGGGTCGCGTCACCTTTAGGATCACGGTGGTCGAGTAAAATGTGAAATCACACTGCCATTTAACGGGAAAAAAAACCAAGTGCAGAGGCTGCCCATGTTTGATATGGATTTATGTTCAAAGATCTTAAAAAAAAAAACAAAAAAAAAAAACAGGAAGGAAGTGTCAAATGCGTCGCAAAGACTGCATTTTATGGGGATTGTGGTGCCAAAGGGTGTAACGCAGATTAGTTTGGCTCGGTGTGGATGCAGGTGTTGAATGTTGCTTTGATGACATTTCTGACTCTTCTTTCCCCCATGATCCTTTGCCGACCTCCTTAAGGGATTTCCTAAACATGACACAGGCTCTGCTCCGATCCGCCCGTACAAGCACCTGTCCATTATCTTCATTCCTCCTCACGCCGTTGCACTCCTCATTCTCCACCCACTATATCTATATGAGTGTATATTTTCTTTCCAGTGTTGATGTGATTAGGTCAGTTATTGCCATTCCGAACAAGCCATTTGGAGCTTATGTGTACGTGCCAGTCTGATCCCACCTCCTCCTCCTCATGTTTTTTAGCGTTTCCCGCCGTCAGAAAGGGAAGCGTCGCTTTCATCTCTCGATCCTGTGTGAATGACTGTGCCGGTGCTAGGAAGTCGAGAGAGGATTTTTATCTGGCTGTATAGTGTAATATGAGAGGGTTCCTGCCACATTTTCAGAGTATTCCACATTCTCGCGTCACAAAGACTTTATCAGATCGTACCTTGATAATCAAGTATAGCCACTGTATCCTTGTATATGAAATGCCAATAACAAAGTCCCTTTTAACATATGAATACATTGTGATCCTTACCATATTTAGGGTATTATAGATAGATCTTTGTGTTGTGGTCCGTGTGGCCGCGACCCAGTCTTGTGCTGTGTGTCTGTCTGCATGTCCGTCTGTTTGTCCGTCTGCCCGTCTTCCTGTCTAATCACCTCTCCGATGCAATAGCCAACAGTGCGTGAGGCCTCCAGAGCTAGAGAACACAAAACGATGGCGACACACACACACACACACACACACACACACGGGAGGTACGGTGTAAAAATTGCTTTTAAAGTGGAGAGGTGCCAGAAAAAGCGTTGCAAAAATAAAAGAGGTTCACTGTAACTATGTACTGTATATCTTATACGTGATCTGTATATCTATCTGGGTCTCAAAGATTGTTTGTTAGTTTTCTCTCTTCAGCCTGTTGATCTGATTGTCTGCCAATCTATTACTCTTCAATGTATATATATATAAACACTAGCTACCATATTTACTTAATTCACACTGTATTTTTGTCACAAAACACAATATGGGTGCACTGTAAAGAAATAATTTAAGTAAAGATTTACAGGAAAATATCTTATTCAAAGCTATGTTTACACAGTCTTAAAAAGGAGCCCACGTTTGAAAGAACATCTTGTAACATCTCTTCAGGGTGCCTTAAGACCTGATGAAATAAATTGTGGAATAAAAGTGATTTTGAAGAAAAATATACCTCTTTCCCCCCACCCCTCAAAATTCGGCGGTTTTTGTTGCAATAATTGAAACCAGTTGGATTTCAAATCTCAAATCTTTTTTTGCCACACATGGTTCATTTTACTGTTCTAAATTTTGTATTTCAGCTAGCAACAACTCACATGGTTCATTTTACTGTTCTAAATTGACTTTTGTATTTCAGCTAGCAACTAGCAACAACAACAAACACAATTACTTTTGACAGTAACATGAAAACAAAACACAACATGGTTAAATAAAGGTAGTTATCAGCAAACACTATATGTCATTTTTAAAATGAAACCATGATATTATTATTATTATTATTATTATTATTATTATTAAAAGACTCCAGGCCTTTTGCTTATTTTGTTAAAGCAAATGTCAAAACTTACCCAAGATATCACCTGTTGGTCAAAATGGCTTACTACGAGTGTGAGTCTTGGATTTAAAATAAACAATTACAATACAGTAGAGTGGCTGTGGCCACTAAATCTAAAGCTGCAGTCAGTAAATTGTGAAAGTACTGAGTCACGGACTGCTGGGAACGAGGCTCAGACACGAATGCTAATCACACTCCACTTTAAAAATGGCCGCCGCTAGGGACTTTTTTCCGCCCCGCCGCTAGAGACCTGTGGATGAATCAGTCAAAGGATGTGAATTTGGTCATCTTAGTAAAAGCATGACAGTGCATTTACTCAAGTCTCCTGTCCACTACTGCTAAATATATCTGATGCCACACGGGGGAGCCAGAGACGAGTTAACCGTGACTTAATTGACTGAGCAGCAGCAGCAGAGAAATCTGCTGTGAAGAATGTGAGGTCCACATTCCACATTCCACAGTTTTCCATTTAGAATTTACGATGTTTACACACCGGTCGATAAGACACATTCATTCAGGCAATGTTTGTTCAGCATTTCAAACCAAATAAGTCGTGATATGAAAGATAAAGGCGACGTTATGGTCCACCAGACGTTACAACCACCAGAACGAGGCAGACGCTATCAACTAAATAAATACAATAAAAAAAAACACTGATAGTTAAAAATAATTGAAAAAAAGTACGACAAATATCTAGTGGATAGTTAAAAATAATTGAAAAAAAGTATGACAGATATCTAGAGTCATACAAAAGAAGTATGGCAAATTTTATAATTTTTCTAATAACATTCCATGTAGAATCTGGACTAGTGGATAACTTTGTCAGGTGTCCTCTCTCTGGTACAACTGCCTAAAATGTTGCTTACATTTTTAACACGTTTTCTTCAAGCCCATTACTCAGTGAACATCTTCACACAGCCAGTAACCTCACATGACATTCTGACCGCAGTCGGTCAGAATATATCATGTCAATGTTACATGAAATCTTCCCACAGTATTCTGAGACAGCTGGAGACGCAGGTCCGTCCTTCACCGTCACTGGTGTGTACCCTTGTCTTGCTATATGTGAGATAATCTCTCGGGGGGTTTAGCACGACCAAGAATCCACCTTTGAGTCTCCTAAGCTGTAGTTGTCCTTGAGTTAGACAGTGAGAGGGGTTAGACACTCGGGAAGAACACTCACTTATACTCAGAGTTGTAGAAAGTACCACATACACCATGATGTACAACGACTACTTGGATCTTTGAGTGTTGAAATCTTCAAACATGTGGCTAAGAGATAGCTAACGATTCAATTTTGTTTCCCAGATTCTTCATTCACCTCTGAAGCTGACTTAAGCAAAGTAGGTGAAAGGATAACACAGGTTATCGTCTTATCAGCTAAGAGTTGAACTTGCTAATTTGTGGCGGCCTTGGCTATAGTCAGCAACCTCAACCAGATTAAGGAGTTGATATTTTTGTGACATCCATACACACACACACAAAGCATCAACATTTAGAAACCTGAACGTTTTACACACTTTTAGAAGAAATACTTTTAATTTATCCAAGTGAAATCTCAATCCAATTTCAGTTTAACAACTGATACTGATACTTACATAAGTACTTACATTATGTATACTGTGTTTAGATCATATTAACACTAACTCACACAAGCTCTTCCACACTGGGTAAGGAATGACATACTCTGAGACAAGTAAACAAAAATAAAACGTCTTCATTTTAAACCTACATCTGTATGACGAGTCTTTTTTTTTCTCCAGGATCTGATGAGCTTGAGTTCATTCACCTCAAACTAAAACAAACGCTCAGACACACGTGGGACAAACTTCCAATTTCTATGTGCCCAAACTCTTCTTATTTCTCCTCCTTCATCTGAGTGGACATCACTCCCCTTTCTCCCAGCATCCCAGGGCTGCAGAGACCCGACCTCCTCAGGACGCTGAGCCTCATAGCACCAACAGCAGAGGGCATGTGGACACTTAGATTTTTTTTCTCTCTTTTTTTTTTTACAGAACTTCTAAATACTTTTACCTCATCTCTGTGCATATTATTTCCATTATATATATTTATATATGTACATACAATATAAACATTTGCAACAGCTGATCATTTACATTAAAAAATAACTAGCAAAGGTGTATTTAGTTGTAAATGGATGATCTGACTTATGTGTGAGGATTAGCATCGTCACTGACCGTGATGATAAAACTACAACAACTTCTGCCGAGTGTGTTTAAAAAGCATGTTTGGACGTTGACAAACAGCAGAACATCCAAATGAAAGTGCTAAGATGAGCGCTTAATTTTACACTGCAAACTTCACCGTTTCGTAGCAGTCTCCTAACGCAGAGCGCGTGAAATTACTTAGGCTACTTAGGGTCAAGATGTCGCAAGTCTGAACATGCAATTAGAGACAGTCCAAGAAGAACTGTGAACCAGAGAGAGACGATGCTCTGAAAGAACACAGAAAACTCATCTTAATTATCATTTCTGACCAAACCTTGGATAAAAAGCCATGTATTTTTTTTACAAACCCTGAGCCCTGTTTCCAAGGCCAGATCAAGATGATCACCGAAGATGCCTTGCTCACCGTTTTCATGAAGCGTTAACCGTCATTGACACAAACTGTTTCCTGACTTTGATAAAAATAACCGAGTGTTTTGTTACAACAATAATGTGACATGTAAAACCATGGTGGTTGCTCACAGCACTGTACATGTCCCGGACTTCTTTTCATCATCGGCATCACCTCCTCCGCCTTCTTTTCTGTTGGGGTCGTTGAGCTCATCGAACAGACCAGTTTCTATCATTTCCTGCTGCCACTGGATAGCCACGGCACCTGTGCTAAACTCTTTGAAAAACTTGTCATCCTTGGCATCCAACACGATCCCCTTGATGTCTGAGAACTCCGCAATGTCGCCGGTGTCCTTGGCGTAGACAACGTTGGGCTTGGGGGTCCAAGGAGGATCCACTAACCCAGCCTCCAAGCGAGGGAAGTTGATGCTCTTGAACCAGGGATGCTTCCTGGGATCCTCCATATTGTTCCTGATGACAGAAAGCAAAGTTTCTTACTTCTCTTTGAATGTTTTGGTGTTGTAATATTTGATTTTAAGTTAATCAATATGTTTACCAGGTACAGTTAGTGACACCATCAGCTTGATCAGTAAACTTGATCAGGAAATCCTAGAACTTACTTAATGCCCAGACGCTCATCTATCTTCTTCTTCAGGAACTGTTGAATAATGTCCTTGGTCTGAGCATCGAAGCACCTGTGCTCCCACTTTGGCTCTTCATTGATAATGCGACGCTGCACCTCTTCCTTCTCCACCTTCTCTTTCTTGGCCTCAGGGCCCTTGAATGGTGTGTATCCAGCCACCATCTCATAGATACTGCAGCCCAAGGCCCACCAGTCCACAGACGTCCTGTATGGAGTTTTGGTCAGGAGTTCTGGAGCCATGTACGCACCAGTACCAGCCTGAGAAAGGTCAAGAGGACACTTTTCTTTAAATCCTATTTTTTAAATCATGTGGGGACACTTTTCTTTAAATCCTATTTTTTTTTTAATCATGTGGGAAATGAGAGTCAGTCTGTCAGTCTGTGAGCAAAAACCTCAGGCCTGGACCAGAGAACTTCATTATGTTTTTTAGATGGTATAACGATGCAGCTGTTGTGAATCAAAGGTGATGCACATTTAGAGAAGAGTTGATTTATTCTAATGAATCATTTCACAACATAAATAAACTGTCATGGATTACGGACATTTTTTCCACATGGTTCAGTTCACAGTGGTGAACCAGCCCAATGTGAGTTTACAAGCCTTTCTTTTTTCCTTTACTAATCACTGAGGAAAATCAGTATGACCTTTATCTGACCTTTGTCTGACCAAGTCAAATTTACCTCCTTCCCCACATTTGTATTAGTATTTTATTGATTAGATTTTTTGTCCCTATCTAGTGCAGGACAAAATGACTGTACATCACTTCACTGCAACTGAGACGATGACCAAAACCTTCACAAGGTGGCACTAATGCAACATAAAGAAATGCTGTGAAAAAACCCAGAGAAGACGAAGACAATCAGGAATAGCCTTGAGTCTACACTGGAACATCTTATCTTCACTCCTCACGCCTTTTCTTTCAAGCATGTGTCTAGATTAGTTCTCTAAACTGATTAGTTAGTTAGTAAATTGTACTACAAGTCCACTGACCAGACATCACTGGGTTTGCATGTCATGAACTGTCGTTTCAGCAAAAACAAATGTCGTCTCTTAAAGTCATCTTAACCACAGTGATGTGCTGAACAGGTTAAATTGAATTTCTTAATAAATACTACTTCTAGTCAGTCAGTGGAAACTGTGTAATTACACTGGTTACAACTTCACACTGAGATTGAAGTAGGAGTCTGTACAGAAATACTCCAGTTCATCACGCTGTTTGCAAACCGAGCACGTCTAAACATACGTGCTGTGCTTTTTTAGCTGGATCTGTTACTCTAGTGAGGGACAGACTTGTGTAATGCCCTAAGAGGATTAAGAGGTTAGCCTAGCCACTTCGGCTGGCTGAGGAGCATCAGAGTTCTGGATAATAAGCTTACTGGACTTTCATAGAGCTGAGAGCTTACTCTTTGCTACTGCAGGACCCCAAGGAACCCTGGTTACAGGCGTCATCGTCAAATCATAGGTTAGGATTGGTGTTGGTGTGGTCATGTCATGACTTTATAGTGCTGTGCTGTGTTCTTTGGCCTTGATTAATTGTTAAAAGTTCAGTGTTTAATTGTGTAGGAAGTGAAGGAAACATGTGTGCTTACCATTTGAGTGACAGTCTTCCCCGGAGCAATCTCAATGGCTAGACCCAAATCTGAAAGTCGGCACTGGCCCTTGCTGTCCAGCAGCACGTTCTCTGGCTTCATATCACGGTATACGATGTCCATTTCGTGGAGATGCAGGATTCCAGTGGTGATCTGGGCCGTGTAGTGGATGATGCGTTTCATCTCGATGCCCTTGTCCACACCCTTTCCATCGTAGCCTATGTTGTAAATATGGAACTTGAGGTCTCCTCCATTCATCAGGGTCATGACAAGGCACAGGTGGGTCTTGCTGTCGTAAGCATAGGCCAGGTTGACCAGAAACAGGCTGTTGACCTTCTCCAGGATCTTCTTCTCCAGGAGGGCCATCTTTTCACCGCCTTTCTTCTTCAGTCGCAGTTTATCCAACTTTTTACAGGCGTACATCTGCCCGGTGTTCTTCACCTGCACAGCACACACCTAGACGGACACAAACAATTGATAATGAATTAAATATTAAATATTCACTAACATTTCAATGTTAATGTTTAATGCTGTTTTACTCTTGGCATTAGAGAGGATTACATGTAATACTACGGATTTAAGACATGGCTGCCAACATTAGTGATCCTAACGGGCGGTTTGCCAACTGTGCTCGAGACTCATTAGACCCAACGTCTGACCCATTTCTCTCTGATAGTACTTGTTTACCTTCAAACATCACCTTTGCTTAAATGTGATATCCATCACAATTCACATTCTAAAAAAAGGAAGAATGTTCATGCTTACCTCTCCAAAGCCACCTTTTCCCAGTGTTCGGAACTCATAGAAGTATTTGTCACTGATGGGCTGTTTCTCGAACTCTTTCCACTGGAGGAACTTATCAAAGAACGGGCTGGCTTGGTAATCTGTGAAGGGCTTGGCCATTAAATATTCTCTTACACCTTCCTGGATTTTGCTTTTCATCACTTCCTCAAAAGTGGCATCTGTCACCGACTTGCATTTATCAGCAGCCTCCCCGGTGAGAAAGGAGAGGAAGGACTTGGAGTCAGCCTTGCAGTACTTGTTGAGGATGTTCTGACGGGCTTTGTCCTTGGTGGCACTTTCAGCCAGATCCCAATCATTTAGATCATCCAGGAAATCAACAGCCAGTTTGAATGAAGGATTACTTGCCAGGTACTGACGGAAGAACTTTTTGCCAATAGGCTGCCGTTCACAAAGTGATGTGAAGTCCTTATCGACGGAAGCTCTCACTGAGGTACACTGTTCACCTTTGGGGAGAGACAGGCTGCGGCGTCTCTTTTTCATCTCCTTGTCGTCACCGCCCTGGGCTTTTAGGTAGGCCGTGTTGGCCACCAGGTTATCCAGTCCCCCCATGTCACACATCTTGGCGGCTGTATGTTGCCTGTCCCCTCTGCGGTACTGGGATCTTCTTGGGTTACCCTCTTACGGTTGGCACAGCGTCCTTCAAAACGTGTGTGCGTCCAGGTGAATGTGCAATCTGTTTCAAACCCTTCACCCAACCTACCTGCAAACCTAAGACACACTGACACACCCAGTAATTACTCCTTTAGAATTAAATGCCGAGGAGGGATTTTGGCTTAAGGATCTTTGTGTGGCCTATTCGTGGATGCTGTGCACGTAAAGGGAATCATAAGAGGGCTCTATCCTAAGAGGCTTTGGGGCCCTCTATATTTGCTCGTGGCATTCAGGTCCGTAGAGTCTGCTGCCCTCTATATTTGCTCGTGGCATTCAGGAGTTGAACCGTGGTCCGTAGAGTCTGCTGCAGATATTGTAAAACTGTGACCATCACTGGGAGTCACCTGAACTTTAAGTCTTAATGTATCTAACCTATTCTTCTTTTGACTCCCAGTCTAGTCCTTATCTTAAGTCACTTCCGTTGTCTGCTTTGTATTGCATACTTAGCCAAAAGTGATATTTTTAGGCATCATTTATAAAAAGAATCACAGTAAAAATGGATCATTGGGCTATAGGAAAAAATCACAGTAAAAATGGATCATTGAGCTAGGGCTATAGGAAAAAGAAAATTGAACTTATCTTAAATGATAACCCCTAGCTAGTAACAATAGCTTTAGGTTAGCCAGTAAAAATGAAAGACTATATTTGTAAAATTGCAGCCACATTTAAACAGAGAGGATTGATAGTTAAAGATTTGCCGAGAAACTAATAAACAATTACGCCAAATTAAGGGTCAAAAATATGTGCATTAACCGTTGCGGCGCGTAACTCTCTCCAGACACTTGTATTAGAGAGATGAATAGGCACTTTCTTTTTCACTGTTACTGTTGGCAGCATCTTTACACCATAGCTACAGTGTTGTGGGGCAATAATCCTGGGATAATGTTAGCTAATCCTTCTCCAAATGGTCTCAAGATATCAGCGCAAGACTGAGGGAGGGGTCGGGGGGTGGGATGGTAGGGTAGTTGCTGGTAGACAGACCCAGACTTTACAAAAGGTGACGCCCACACAGTCATACCTGTATGAGAGTTGGAAAGTTTAAAAAATAATAATTTCAGCATTTGGAACATAGCCAGAATGAGAACAAGCTGCAATTAAGGAGCTTAATTATACGCCCTCACAAAGGAAGTGGCCCCCTGCTGGCTAATGAGAGTTGTTTCATATATCAGTCAAAAGTCAAGCATCTTGTAAATGGCTCATAGTGGCAGTAAATCTTTTAAGCCTCCTGGCTGGATAAAAACAGGCCATTGACTTCATCTCCTACCAGGTCAGAGAAGGCACAGTCCTAAGCTGAGAGAACACACAGAGACACCTTTTGGAGTTCCCACTGACTCCAGTGGCCATCCCTGCTGATCCAGGCAGTCATTACTGATGCCATCTCTATTTCCTGACAAACTAAATGTTTGTATGGTGATAGATAATTTAAAAAAAGAATATAAGAATATGACAGTAAGTTTGATTTTTTTTTTCTTGCAACCTTTAACCTTGCAGGGATTACCCCCCTGCTCAGGGAGGGAGTAAAGGTTAAGATGAACGTGGGCCCTGTTATCCTATTTCAAACACAGCCAACTGAGTGGTCTTTACATAGACTGAGAATATCCAATTATGGTCCGTAGCTTTTGACAGAACAGATCATAGAACAGAGCAGAACACACAGGGGGTGGATTAGACACAGAATCAAGAGTCTCCCTACAAGTCAGTGGTTCCCAACCATTTTCTGGCCTGTGACCCCATTTTGACATCAACAAATGTATACACACCCACAGACAGACACACCTACAATCACACAGTTGTAAGGACAGCTTGTAAACACAACGTAGAAGTTTACATTTACTCACTGACTTTGCTCCAGAGTGTAACTGTTGGAATAGGCTCCAGCATCTGAAAAGAATAAAAGGAACGTTTTTCAAATGTTAAACATTAGACAATAGACAAAACGTTAGCACAGGAATACCTAACAGTAAGCTGAAAATATAGCAAATTTATGTAAATACTTACCAAAAAGAGTAGTACTAGGCGGCAGTTACATTTTAAGAAATAAAATCCAGCTGTTGATTCAGAGAAGGCCATAATTTACTGAGACAATTAGCCCTGACTGTAGTTTTTTAAAGTGATTTACTGTGTTGTTATTACTACTACTCAAATTGACCACACAGTGGTGTTTTGGTTTTTTTCCCACTTGTCTCTAAGTGCTGTTTCAACACTTCTAAAATGGTGTGGCTTTATTTCCCATCTGCAGTGTTTTCTGAATATCTTGGGAGAAATGAAGACAGATTCTAACTCAACTGGAAACCACCTTCACCTGCTTTGAACAAAACAACAACACAAAAGATTATTATACACTGGAAATTGAAAAGTATTTTATGATGTCAACGTCATATCTCAGTGTGCAGTACATGTATAAAGTTCGTTCATAGCTTTTTTGGAGGAAATTCATATTTTACATATCATGAGAGGAAGTTAAAAATATGATTTGTTTTCAATAAATACTTGATTGTAGTGCCAGCAATGTTGTGTTTATAATGTCATTATTATTATTTCAGGGGTTCATTAGATACGATCTGTGTTCAAAGATTCATTAATTGAATCTTTTGAACCTTGCTGACCTTTTATTACATTTCCCTAAAAAGCAGTAAGAATTTACTTTTGAGAAAAAGGGTAAATGACTGAGGAATATTCAACTAGTAATGAGCTACATGAAGACTGGGTTCCACTGAACTTTCTAAAACAAAAAACCTGACTGTGGCAGTCACGACTCTGTGTCCTCTGCTGTTACTCATGTGCCGTCATCTGTGCTGGTGTTTGCACCAGAAGGCGCTGCATGTCTTCCAGGAAGTGTTCAGGCACAGATTCAGAGGAATCAGAGAAGGTGTCGGAGTCAGGGACACTGCCAGGATCAATGTAGGAGCTGGTGTCAGAGCCAGAGCTGAGCGCAGGGGTAACGCTGTGATGAAATTCCTTCTCCGACATAGGGACTTCTTTTTTTTCCACACTTTCTTCCTGACAGCTGTCTTCATTATTTTCTAGGTCACAGACCTGCTGCGCTCCTCTTTGCTCCTCGGTCTTTAGCCTCCTGCGGCTGATCAGCTTCTGCAGCTGCAGCTTGCTGGTAAAAAAGATGCGGCGCCAGCCCACCTCCAGAGCCAGGGAGGCCACTTCATCTGAAACTGTGTTGCAGCACTTTCGCACTGCCTGTTCCCAAAACTGCTCCGACCCACATAACTAAAGAGCGGGGAACAGGGGGGGACAAAAGAAACATGTAGCAATGAGTTGGATTCCCATGCAGTTGGTGTTACTTGTAAAGTATTTCCATAAACCCACCTGTCTAAACCGATGTGATGTTTGTCCAAGCTGCTCCACATCCTCCAGCTCAAGGTAATTAATTATCCGCAGCAATAAGGAGTCAGACAGATGATCCAGATAATCATAGTGACCATGGCACAGAGCCTTGGTATACAGCAAGATCCGATGTCCAAACACAACACTGACCTCACCTGACAAGACGTTCACCATTTAATTTGTCACTCATATTAAGGGAAACACAACACTGACCTCACCTGACAAGACATTCACCATTGACATTTGTCATTCAAATGAAGGGATTTAATTTCTTTTTAAGGTTAGAATTTTTATCTGAAACTAAATGCAGTAAGAAGAGCAGAAACATCTTCTTCTAGTATGTAGTATATTCATTTAACAGGTAATTAAAACTGAAGATCTGGACTTACTCTGCATCCAGGAGTCGTCTAGGAAGTCTTGGTGAGACTCCTTCACCTCCCCAGGCCTGGAGTACCTGTCCACAGCTCTCAAAGAAATCTTCCACCATCTCCATATTACCTGCAAATGAAATGTAAAAGAAATTGGAGTCAGAGGTATTTGGAAAAAAAAGACAGTAAACACAGTATTTATGATTTCATATATTTTGTCTTGTTCCTATTTAGCTCCTGAAATGATCTAAACACATCTCCATCACATATGCCCTCTTTATCTTTCTTTTCTCGTCGAACTAGGCATTTCCCTCGTTCCAGGATTTCGAGTGTAATTTGCATTTTTAAGCAGGTAATTTGGGGGACCTGTTCAAAAGTGATGGGACCATGAAAGCTGAGAAGTATGATCAGATACTGATACACCATGCTGTGCCATCTGGGAAGTGACTTCTTGGCCATGGGTTCATCTTTCAGTGGGTGTGCAAAGGCACGCACGTCAGGACAAAATGAACAAAAGAAGCTGGGCTGAAAATGCACACTAATTAAACACACCAGGCATGAAGGACAGTTCAGGAATGTTTTCTAAGCTGTGAAAAAACATGTTTTTTGAGTAGCATGTAAGATATTTGGCAGAAGAGCTTTCATTAGAATTTCCATTTGTTTGCATTAGTAATCAAGATAATTCAATTAATTTACAAATTTCTTGTCAAATAGCCAAACTAAAAACATTAGGGTAGGTTGACCCTAATATAAATGTTCACTACTGCAACTGTTATAATGATTTGAGCATCACATTCATGCTAAGTGTAATGACTTGTACCTTTTCTCACGTATGTTTTGTTTATTATTATATAATAAAGGATTACATTTTAAATAAATTAGTTTAAGTGAGAGCTGAAACTCTATACTAACATACTACATACTAAATAACGAGGATTTACGAACAATAAATCTCAGTTTTCAACTTCTGCTTGCAGTTCAAAACTTGACGTAAAAAAATAATAAAATAAATTTTAAAAAATAACAGTACATTATAAATGGAGGTAAAAGCGGACATTTCTACCAAAATAGTCACAACTGTAATAAGTTTAGCGAACTTAATAGCAGTGACGTTCGTAACGACGCAAACAAGTTGTGCTAATTAAAAAGTGAACCTTTAAAAAAAAAAACTAGAATGAATAAAGTTATTATAAATTTGTAAAAGCATACCCGACTTACCCCTTTCTTGGTGACACTAAAATAATAAAAGTTCTTGTTGGGAGGACGGCCAACTCCCGAAATTTCAAACAGCGGGTCTGTTAACAGAGAGGCCATGTTAGTTTGAATAGAGTCATAGCAACAAGACCAATTCGTCGTAGTCAAAGGCAACGGGAAAGACGACAGTTTGGTTTTTAAATAACGAAGATTAAACTCAAAAGTCCATAAAAACAGTGTTATAATTCAATGCTTTAAGATAAGCTTCAGTAATTTATTGGTCAAATTTATAATTATTCCTTAACTTTTGGCTAATAAAATACTTTATTTTTAACTTTATTATATGAAATATATTCTCTTTACATTGTATTCCTATAAGCGGGATCAATAACTTGGAGAGTCCAATAAAAAATAGAGTATCTTGTTTGCAAATTAAATTCTCATGTCACTAAAATAAAGTAACTGCCATAGTTAAAAATCTTTTAATTTATTTATACATATATTTATATATGTACACATTTACTAACCTATTCTTGCAAAGACAAAAAAAAAACAACCAAAAACATTGTCAAATTTAAAGTTAGTGATTGGTGTCAGAATGTAGACCCTCACTTTTTCCCAGAGTCATAGCAAGAAGCAGTCATGACATATTCCACTAATAAATCTATAGTTTCCCTCTGCCTTTACCTAAATCAAAATAAAGAGAAAACCAAATTTATCCTTATCTTATCTGAAAAGCGTTTCACATAGAAGGCAAGAAGATCAACCGTCAAGGTTATACAGTGGCTACAACATGAATGGTGTCTTGGCAGAACCGGTCAACTGTTGAAAAATGACTCCTTCATTTGTCATGCTTCTTTTTGTTAACCAAAATATGACTATGCAAAAATAACTCATAATACATCTACATCTGACAGCAGAGAGGAAACTGGCAGCGTAGTGAACTTGGCATTAATATTCATGGAATCGGGTCACAGAACAAGGGGAATGCCGGCAATATTCAACTTAAATTTCTGTTGTGCTCGAACAATCATTTTAAAAATATTTAATATCCTGATAGCCCAGGATAAATGCTGCGTATGATCCTTCTGCCTACAAGCTTTTTCTCTAATTTATAAAAAAGGTTTGCATTTAGTCGTAGGAAGCTTTAGACTGTTAGGAACATCAATATAGAGCAGTAAGTTAATAAAAGGACATTTTGCACCTTAAAGCCTGTATAGTGGCAACAGAATAACAAATCCCTTTGAAAATACAATACCTGCATCGTCCTGGCTGCTTCAAACCACAGGTCATATATTTGTATGGATCTCTAATTTATAAAAAAGGTTTGCATTTAGTCGTAGGAAGCTTTAGACTGTTAGGAACATCAATATAGAGCAGTAAGTTAATAAAAGGACATTTTGCACCTTAAAGCCTGTATAGTGGCAACAGAATAACAAATCCCTTTGAAAATACAATACCTGCATCGTCCTGGCTGCTTCAAACCACAGGTCATATATTTGTATGGAACCCTGTTAATATTTCGTTTAAATGTATATACCATAACATAGATTGTAGTGGTTTTTCTTACCACAAGGTGTGAACAGTATACTCACTCATGGTAACTCAGTCCTTTGTTATACGTAACATCTACTTATTTGCGATTACAAATGATATGCACAGAGCTTACAGTCATAAACAATAAGTAAAAAGCATAAAATGTGTATAGTCCAAACAGTAGAACCCCCTCCCGTAACAGTCCCTTAGTCTTCAATGTAGTCCTTTGAACTCCTTCATAGTGTTGTAAACGTTTTGTGGAGGAAAAAGGTTTTGTTTTTTTAACGAAATGTAATGCCACTAGTAGCGTGACGGAACGGGTGCGTTGACTATGTGCTGCATGCTGCCATCTGGTGGCCGTAATTGGAAGCTGTGCTACAGGAAAGGGTTAGTAGACGATCCCCCTGAAGGAAATGCTCCAGCAGGACCTCCAGCCTGAAATATAATACAAAAATGTATCATTAAAACATTGTTTTATTCTTTTTTTTTTATTGCTGTAATGAAAAAATGCTGAGTGAGTCAGTTAGAATGACACAGTTGTATTTTTTTCGAATACATCTGATAATAACCGGTGCCTCACCATGAATGGATTGTTGGACATGCCTGGTGCAGCCATGTGCTGCCCAAATGGCATGGAGGGCTTGTTCTGAGTGTAGACTGGAAATGCAGGACCTAAGAGTAATGCAGGGGGAAAAGGTTAATTGAAGTCATTCGGTTTTTGACACTAGCTAACACATTAGGGCCAGGAGTTTTAAATAAACCTTTGCTGTCAGTAAGAATTAAAAAAACCTGGTCTGACGTGGACAGCTTTTCGTCTTTTGCAAAGACAGTCTCGCTGTCACCGAGCAAAACTTGGTGGGTAACATGTACTTTAAAATGACAAATTCAAAATGAAATTGAGAATTAAGACCATTCATGGGAACATACAGCAAACTGGACCTAAATAATCATTTTATCTTTTACTCAACAGTAACCAAATGATTTTCTAAAACATGATTATCACTGTGAAGAAGCTGTAATGAATAGGTTGCACTTTCACTTTTATCTCAGTATTTAATCTGAACCCAAATTACAGGTACTGCACAGGTCACACGAGGTCAGCAGAAGGATGGAAACCACTAACCATTAGACTGAGGGTGATAGGCTCCAGGTTGAGCATAAGGGATGGGAGCCTGACCAGGGAATTGCTGCTGGAAGGTTCCACTGAAACTGGTGGGAAGGCAGTAGGAAGAGGCACTCCCAAAACCTGCAGGCATGCTCATGGAGCCAGTACCAAAGGGAGCTACGAAACACACAACATGTGCATGTGCATGGTGATTCATGTGTGCAGAGCCACACCAACCATGCACAGACACGTAAACATAGAAAAAAGCAGGAGTGCATTTCTAAATGATTGGGTGAATCATGATCAGAGGAACACAAATTGGTAAAATACAGAAAAAAGCAGGAGTGCATTTCTAAATGGTTGGGTGAATCAAACCTGCAGCTGAGGCTCTGCCGTTGGTCTGGAAAGGGTTGGTTGCCATGTCTGGGGCGACAGCAGCAGCTACAAAAGGATTTGTAGATGGTACGGCTACAGAGAATACAGGAGAATAAGAGAGTTGTATGTGTGAGTGAACCCAATTTAATATTATTTTTTGGTTTTGAAAGTGGCACTATATATTTAACTGATCATGCTCACAAACACAAAATACATATAAACAAATAGCACAATACTGCAGATTATACATCAAGAGGACACATTGTACAAGTTCATTTATAAAATTACCTCCAAAGCCAGGCTGCATGTTGGGTAACACAGGTTGATTTTGGGCTGGCGATGAGCCAAGTACTGGTCCAAATAGGTTCCTACAACAAAGTAAAGCAACCAACAAAACTATTTTTACAATGTTTTTTTAATGACAATGTAAAAAAAATCAGAACAGAATGGTAACCCATCATATAATATTGTTGTTCACTAAAGCTGCGATTAGACATAAATTCTCCTATTGATACAGACTGTACATCCAGCTCCCAGTTTCCTACATTCTTATTGGAAAACATTTGTCTCTTTCACACCACCAATTACTGAGCTCTATCCTGGCTCGCAGCCCAGTGCCTTAAAGCAGCGGTTCTTAATCTCTTTTCACCGAGTACAACCTTCCAACTTTGTTTCTTTAAGTACCACCAGCCTGAGCATCATTAAAATACAGCAGTATAGACCTGTCCTGTTCCTCTGAGCCCAGTACACAGGAAGGAGAATTTACTCCTAATAAAACCCACTTGCATATTTCTCAACCAAAGTCGTTATAGTTGGATGTACTCAGAATTCACCTCTGAAACCACAAACACACACACACGCTCGTGGAGGGACAGAAAACATCACAGATATGTAGTGAACGTCCTTCTCCAGTTGTCTCTCACCCTTGCACGTTGCTGCCGGATGAGACAGAGGAGCTGAGCTCATTGTCCAACTCTGCCAGAGCAGCATAACGGTCCTCTTTGCAACTTCCTCCAAGGGGTTGGGCAGGAACTGCACTAGACATTGACGGGATTGGCACACCTCCACCTATTGGCCATTTGTTGAAACAAATGTAACTGAAAACTCTCAAAGCTACAAGAAAAAAAACTAGCACATCAGTTTGTTTGGGTTTTTTTTTTCCCAACAAAACAAAATACAAATAAGTGATGACCAAGAGGAGAACTGTTATGCAAAATGTATGGATAATGAGATGGTAGGTGGCAAAAAGTGTCCACTGGGTGTCTCCCTTTTTCCAGCTGTGGTAAGAGCATGATGCTCAATGTACATTTTCTCCTGTTTATTTCATGCCCTTTGTTCTATAATTATGATTGTAATAATTTAAATTGTTATTTAATTTGTTTTTTGTTAATTACACATATCCCATATTCAATATATCATATACTTTTATTCCTCTTTATAAACCCGCTACTTACAAGTGAAGTATTGCAAATATTATGTTACTAAAAGTGATGTGAAAGGAATTACAGTCTAATAAAGATTTTTTTTCAACTTCATACATGTTGATTACAGTCTAATAAAGATTTTTTTTCAGCTTCATACATGTTGAACATTGGTATGCTGGACACACAGCAAACCCACTTAAAATATTTTCAATGGCATAAAACTCAACAACACCTCTTTAAATACAGAGATGAGACGCCCAGTGGACAGAGAGGGTTAAGAGTAAATGAGACATACCACAACGAGTGAGTGTGTACGTGTGTGTGTGTGTTTGAGGAGTGAGCAGTAGTGAGGATGGGATACCTGATGAAAATGACTTGGATGGGGGTGATGTGCTCAGATGGGATGGGATTGTAGTGTTTCCAAATGCTTCAAAATTGGCAAAGTTGGTATTTGAATCACCCTGAGGTGCTGCAGCCACACACAAGGAAAACATCAAGACAGGAAATGAATGACAAAGTTCAAAACAAATAACAACGCAACACATGAAGTACATGACGGCAAACCAAAGAGTGCATTTTGAACAATGGTGTTTCTGTTCATTGATGACACGTTAGTCAATATAATCAGTCCCAGAAAAGCACTGATCTTGAACTAGGGAAATTGTTGTCAATTACTGAAAAAAAAAAGGAAGAAAAAGGACTTACCCGTCTGGTTTGGAAAATGTGCAAAGTTGGCAAAGTTGGAAGAGGTGGCAGTTTGAGTCGGTGGAGCAGCAAAGATGTCTCCTCCCAGGTCTGAGAGCAGGTCAAACTTCTTCTCTTGACTAGCGCTTTGAGCCTGTGAACGGCTGAGCCCTGGAGACTGGGAGGTAGGTGACATTTTAGACACGAGTGTTCCAAAAACAACAAGACTGCACTTGTTGCATTTAATTATCTTAAGTTTTTTTTTTTAAATTGGAGGTGGCTCCCCTCTATCAACCCTCTCTTTACCAAAGGATGGTTACACTTATTCTTATTCCAGATGGTGTGTCTAACACAGAATCTATGAAAGACTTTTTTGTCCTTCACATCTTACAATCCATAACGAAAAGGGATATCGTTGCTAAACGTTATCTAGCTAGCTTGACTTCCCCCCTTAAATTGTTCTGCTGGCTTTAATTGAATTAAAACCATTCCATTTGACCTGTAACTCTGCCTTCACCAGTTTCTTTTTTGTCCCTGTGACAAAGCTACAATATTTTTCTTTACGACTCTGTGTGTCTTCTGTCTCGGTACCTGGCGCAGTGGGGTCTTGTTGAGCTGCAGGGATTTAAGGGGCTGCACTTCTGGAGTGCTGCCAGTGCTGCTGGCTGACGAGCCTGACACAGAGGCCTGGACGCTTCCCACTGATCTGGCCTGGTCTGGAGGAACGTACCTGGACAGTCATGGAGAGAAAAACAAAACACATAAGTGTATGAAGGCAAAGGAATTGGGGTGTAACAATCCAATTAACAATATAATACAACACAATATTAACAAGTAACAAGATAAGATGAGATTTGAACATAGTGGTTTTAAAATGTTACAGCAATTCAATAATACCTTTTGAACAAAGTAATAAAAAAAAGTTCAGAGATAAAATATTGGTCTCTGTCTGAGACTCAAACACTGCCACGCAAATTATTTAGCACTGGGCGCTGCTTCTCTGATCATTTCTGCAGCAAAGTCAGTCTCACCACATCTGAGTAGCGCTCTGCTAGTTAGCTTCCTTTAGAACGAGAGAGATCTAATTACAGCCAAAGAGACAAAGTTTATCGTTCTGTGTGAACGTGACGAAAATCTGTGTTGTGAAAAATATTTTAATCTGATTAAATTCACTCTCTTATATCATATCTCTGAAAATGGCTCAGAGAAAAGTGACACAGTGGTCGGAGAAGAGCTGAAACATATGGCTAACCGAGTGCATGACAGCAAAACATTTTTGGCAGAGGCAGCTCTTCATTCCCTGCGCGCCTTTCCTTTGTTTCACAGCTGATAGTTAACACAGGAGCATAAGTGAATGACCTGCAATGACTTGCTGAGCGCAACAAAGTCAAAAAGCGTTGCTCCACAACTTATCCATTTACTGATTTTTTTTAAATAGTAATCATTTCCGGCTTTGTGTCAAATCATTGATGACTAAACTTCAGGCAATCGCAGAGACAAAGGAATGCGTTACCATCGTTTCTTTTCATATTTTTCCTGGAGAAACTCTTTAACTTTCTGTGGTTCTCGGAAATCTGGCACAACTGATGTCCTGTCGTCATAGAGGCCTAACCAGATGTGTTTACAGACCTATAGGGGGGGCAAAAGAATGAAAAGAAAGGGTGGGTGGAGGGGCGTCAGGGTGGGGGCGGTGGCAAAGCCAGGATAGAGGTGAGAGAAAGTAAAGAGAGAGGGGGAGGGGAGGAGAGAGGAAAAAAAGAGACACAGCTTATTAAAAAAAGAGAAGAAGCACAAAACAAGAAATCACAATGTAACACACAACTAATGGGAATATCTATGACGCATTGAATAATGATTAACTTCCAATTTGTGGAGTGAGGTTCTGAGTCACTTTTTGGTAAGAAGTGTGTCACACCTCATTGCTGTGTTTCTGTAAGAACTCTATTTCCTGCTGTGTAAATGTGGTCATTGAGATGGACTTCACTCTGTGTGGGGGATTCAGTCCTCGCCTGCAAGCAGAAAGGAAAACGTTAGCTGTAGGACAGAAGAAGAACAAAAAAAAAGAGAAGAAAAACTAACTTAAATTGGGTCTTACATCAAAAAAAAAAAAGAAGAAAAAACTAACTTAAATTGGGTCTTACACCGTACATTTCCATGTACCATTTCTCTTCAGAATAAACATAAAGCTGTTTTGATTTGTGCCATGGTGACATGTGGAAGACACTAATGTACTGACAGTCATAGATTTTGCCAGGAAAAAAAAAACAGTTGTTCCTTATTTATTTTGCCAAGAGATGCAGAATTAAAAACAGTTGGGCTCGACTTCCAAATATGTGCGTAATCAGTCAAGCGGGCTTTTTTCAATTAATAAGTACATTGGTTTAATATACAAAGGAAATCACAACAACAACAGAACAAGAAAATGGTGACATCTGTAAATGTCACGATTTTGTATTTGAAATCTTCACAAATTTAGTCATCAATTTATTTCGTACTCAGAGAATCTTTATTTAGGAAGAGAAGGTTTGAAACCAAACAGAAAACATAAATTACAACAATCCCACAAGACGTGGGAAAAGCTCAAAACAGCAGCGATGTGCAGTTCCACAAAAAAGAAGTTAAATGTCACAGAAACACCAGATACTATTCTGTTGGCCAGACGAGGTCAGTGCCACCAGGTTTTTATACCAAGCTTCTTTCGGCTCTTCTGAATTAGAATTTAGAATTTAACATTCAGAGCAATTTAGGACAACAGAGAGAAAGATTCCAATCAAGCCGGTAAGCAACAAATATAGTATACAACTTAGTGGAGGAACAGAAGAACTGTTGCCCTAAAAGGGTGTGACTAGTCAGGATGTTGCCTAAATCCTGGTTATGATTTCACAATGTTCTGCATTATTAATGAGGAAGTGGATTGGTTAGACAGTAGATCTCATGTTATCACTTCACAAAAGCGTTCAGTGATATTTGGACCATAAAGGAGAGTAAAAACAAAACTGCATGGCAGATTATACACACAGGTATCATATTAACTCAGCACCTGCACAAAATGAACTTTTGAACTTCTTAGTTGATCATGATATTTTACTGCTGCCTGTGCAATGCAGCTGCTTTAATAACAAATATTCCCAAAATCTCCTTTAATAAAGGAGCAGCTATGGCTGTTAAGACATACAGTTCAATTGCATAATTTGTCTCAGCCCTAAATTAAAATAAATATGGTTAGTTAATTAATTGCATTTTTTGTACATAACGAACAGCAGCTGTAATATTAAAACTGATGAAACTGAAAAGATCCTGTTCATATATTCAGTTTCCCAAAATAAAAGCAGGCTGAATACTTCTGGGTTGTTTTTTTTCCAGTACTCTATTATTCCCCAAAGAGAGTTTTCACTGCATATCACCCCAGTGATTAACACCAGACACACAGTGAACACACTGAACAGTGAATTGCACTTTGTAGTGCACCCAAGGAGCCGGGAAGTTTTGGATAACGCTCAACACAATGCACTCCTGCCAGGGCCCATTTATCTGTGTAAGATAAACCTTTTGATCCTGTTGATACGCAGTCTTGTACTTGCAAAAACTATGGTCATTTTTCAGATGCTTTTGGTGTTTTATGAGTCCATCTGGAGTCTTCGGTTGCTAGCTGCAAGCATGACTGTAGAAAGACTTCGTACTTTAGGCCACTTCTGTAGAATTCCAAAAGGAACACTTAAGTCCTGTAGACGTTTTGACCCTAATGTGCCGCTTCTCAGATGATATTGCATTTTTCAGCCACATATGGTTTAGTCTGATCTCTAAACATAAAACAACCAACTCTCCTGTTACGCTCATAGGCAAAGAGATACATAAACTCTAGATTTTGACCCAATGGGTTTGAACTTTTTGCAAATCATTTAAATGAATACTAAGAGCTTTTCCCAGCCTGTCCCCACCCTAAAGTGTTCATTAGACAATAACAAAGTTAGAAACACGTTTCAAAGCTGCTGTTGAATGTTGAATGTCAGACGCTGCTCTAAATGACATTGCTGCAGTCAGCACGCCCACTGCCGGCTCTCTCACAGCTAAAGAAATCCGTGGCATTGTTGCTTCCAACCACACAGGATAATTCGTAGTGTCCTATTCTGTGCAGTCATCTTGCTGTGCAACGCAGCATCGTGCTATAACGCACATTAGCTTTGTTGGGGTTCTCTGTTTACCTAAGACAAATAAACCGTAAAGCAGATTCTGTCTGAACAGAACTTAGCCTTTGCATCTTTTCATCTGCTACAGTTAGTCTGTGTGTGACAGGAACTAGCTGAAATCCAGATAAAGTTCCACAAGGACCGGCTCCTGTGTGACACATGCTGTTTTTAAACAAGGTCCTCAAATATTTGTTTGGTGGTATGTAACATTTGTGGTTCCTGACCTCAGCCACACAGGCAATAAACTGCTAGGAACATCCCTGACTATCAGAGAAATGACGTCAACAAAATTGACAAATGAGAACAGGCACAAGGTCATTATTTCCATAGCTTGACCTGTTGAACCTGTGTTTTTCCTCATAAATGTTATTTTTGAAAGGTTTTTTCCCCGTAGACATTATGTGTGATTAATATAACTGATCAAGTAGATCAAGAATTTGGGAAACAATTCAAATCTTCTTGTAATAAAACCACACCCTAATTGAGATTTATTACTCTGAAAAATATTAATAGCATAAGTTTTAGGATTATAGTTTTTACTAATGTGAATCATTTTTGGCAGGCAAGTTGTTTGTCGGACATATAAGTAGCATGTTTCGGTAACATGACATAAAATTTTACATGGATGCACACTAGGGTTGTCCTGATACAAACCGAAACAAGTACAAGTTATTGGTGTACTCCGCCAATACCAAGTGCTGTACTACTTTGTGAAGTACAATATATTTAAATAAATATGCAATGAACGGAAGGGCACTGTTAATCCAAGTAAATTCATAAAATCAGTAGTGTTTTAATGATGTTTTTAGTCACCCACTCTTGTATACTTATAGTAGCATTTGTTTCATCACATTGAGTGCTACATGATAACAACTGTTGGTGCTGCTGGTTGTTTAGATAGCATATAGGTCGAATTTGTAATATTGTTTACAGTATTTACATTTTGTTACATTACTCCCTGTTTCTGTAACATTACAACACCTGTTTAAACATTCATGGCACTGCAGGCGTTTCATTGTGTATTGGTGGTAAGCAAACAGTATTTCCAAACATGGAACATTTGTGACATGTTCTATGTAATAAAAACAGTTTAAAATGTATTTAACAAAGTTGGTAAGTCTAAGGTATGAACGTAGGGAACGTCTTTCATTTCACTGGCCAAACTAGTGAATCTGTTTTTGTCATAAAAGACAAAGTATGGGACGTTTCTCAAATATGTAGGTCATGACAATCGCATTGTAAAATCGTGCCACATTCGACATTGTGATTATACCGCGTTCTAAACACTTAACGCCACTGAAATACGTAGCATTTCTGTAAAAACTAAACATAATATTAATTTATTATGTTAAAGTTAAAGTTATTTTGAAGGGACAATGTTTGAGCCCAACATCTGACACTTGTGTTGCCTTTATCTAGGACATCTCTCATCAGACTACACCTAATCTGTAAACAAACTGCTATGACAACATCACCGAGCCAAACATGGACCCAACCCAGTGCAGTTTAGCGGCCTGGGCTGAACCGGGCACCGCGTCAGCAGTGTTACCTGTCTTCAACAGAGAGCTAGCTTACGTGCTAACGGAACCGCTAAGTCACAAATGGACCGCCAGAATACGAACCTGACGGCGGTGGCTTGTCATTACAAGCGGCGCCATTGTGTACCGTGAAGTTAACAGTGTTTCCCAGACAATTACTCACAGTATCCCAGAGCAGGTGGTGCAGACGAAGGAACCCACTGTCATGTTGACATAGGTCGGGCCGCGCTGGTCGCAGTCAAAGCATTTCCTATTCGCGGGAAGGCTAGTCATTTCTCGGAGCATCTTCAGATGAGTCTCCTCCTGTTTTCGCTTCGCGCTCGTCGTCATGATGGTAAACGGTAAGATGTTATCACCGGGAGAAAATGATGGCCGGGAAAACGGGGCAGGGCGGGTGTCTTCGGGGCAAAAAGTTGCCGCGTACAACGGCAGCCAGTAGGGAGTCAGACACCTTACGGTGAGGAGACGAGAGGACTGTGGAGGAGACTGAACGACTAACTGCTGCTTCTGCACATAAAAGTGTCAGTCATCCTCTCTACAGCGCCCTCTAAAGGTTTGGAGGAATTAGAGCAGTCCTTTATCTTTGTTAAAAGAAATAAAAATTAAACAAAACAAACATACAATAGCATATACTGTAATTAAAATGCTTTGTCGTGTTTCGTAACTAACATAAACTAACATGGTGAATGATAGTTTATGTGCATGACTTAAAAAATTGATCTTTTTAACATGATTTTTTTTTTTACATTTCTCTGTTTTCCATAAAGCAACTCATAATCTTATGCACACAAATGTAAACATCTTTGTATCTTCTTTTCTGGTGCCTGCCTTGGCATCCCGGACACAACAGGTGTTCAGTCAATATCTAGTGATGAGACATCCCCTGTCTCCAGCTCTGGCTGAGGAAAAGTCTTCACTGACAGCGAGCACAGTGATCTCTTTCATCGCTGTCAGCTGCCTGTGCCAGTACTCTCATTGGCTGGGCAGGGAAACGCTGATCCACTGAAAAACCGTTCATTGAACTGTGTTGTTGTAAACACTGCTGCTTAGAAGATCAGATTACAGTATTGTCAGTGAGGGCGGGTCTGTCATACAGTCACAGAGACAGTGTCAGGGTTCTACAACATGATTTCATCTTTGCTTTTTAAGTTAGCGACAACTAAAACTTATAAAAGAATATCATATAAGGCTGAATTATAATACATCATTTATAAGAAGCTTTATAGGAGGCAGTAATTATTGTTTTAGATAATGAACGTTACAGTTAAATCTAGTTTTTTATTTTATTTTTTTTAACCACAGGCATGCTTCTATGCATTGCATTTTTGCAAATTGTTTTAAAAATACCACAGACATTAAAACATAATGAATCCTTCTTTAGCAAAAGGAAGAA